GACAACAACATGTAAGGAAGCCCAAGGCAAAGCCGGGCTTCCGCGCTAGTTGCCTAATAAAATTGCGAAGAATGTATACTACCTTCACAGGATCGATCTTTAAACGGAACTGTTGTGCACTAGTCGAAAGGCTGATAGTTGCTTTCGTAGCAAGACAATAAACTGCAAGCAGACCAACCCGAAAGATGTATTGTTTCCATATGTATACCCTTTGCACTTAATACCTGTAAAGCGGTCGGAAGAATCCTCAGCTTGCGTGGTTAGTTCAAGTTGTACGAAGAGTGGTTGGTACAGCACTTAGCTCTAAAGTACCGGGGTTGGAATATTAATAAAAATAACGGTAGCAATTACCGAACTTTTGGGATGGGGAAGGCACTCAGCAAACACCGATACTGGGATGTGCCCTAAGCAAAGAAAGGCATGACATACAGGAAAATACAACTATTATGTAAAAATCTAGGAAAAAGCACCAACCGTCGAAGGCGTTTTAATGGCGAAACAGTGGGGCGTTTTAAGCTGGTTTCTTTTTTTAACAGGATTGTGTGGCCCTGGTCCTGGGATACGATGCGCGATGCCTTGACCTGAACAGCGTTGTCAAGGTCTGCGGAAAAATTGGTTCTAATTAGGTCAGCTGTTTTATCGTCCAGATTCGATACAACCTCACGGACAGCCTTTTCGTTGAAAAGCTGATGAATTTGGGCCTGTTTGATGGTCAACTTGCGACGGAGAATGAGGCGATTTAATTGGAGCGTAGAGAATGCATCGCCGGTAGAGGTTTCGCACTCCTGTGAACGAAAAGGTAATAGAAAAGGGGGGGTCTAGGAAATGAAGACACAACTTATGCTTCCATGAAAGTTAAGCGACTGTCATTTACAGATCAGACCTAATTGCAGAATGGAACACTGTAGTACCTTTTTGCCATGGGGCTGAAGCCTAACACGCTACGGTTATTTATTTGCCAAAATATTCCGCAAGGCACAATAAGCAGCCAACATTACATGAAGGTAGTATTTAATTAATTATAAGGAGGGGAGTTAGGAATTGACTTTGTAGCGCTCTTTAGGTTTTTATTGATCATTACCTACAGCCGACCTCCATCAGTCGTTGTCGTGGATGAACCCGGTGGAACAAGACAATAAAATGCTGTTACGTGAAAGAATAGACTGAGACAAGGAGGGGAGAGTAATACGAATATTTTAATGGAAGAGTAAAAGAAGGAGTAATTAAGAACAGAGTACAAAATGACGATTTAGGATTAGCCACAGAGTTCAGTCAACCACACGTAAGACCTCCAGCCCGAGACTCCTGTGAGCTAAAGCCCTAGTTTAGTTTAGCTAGGGTGTAACGCCCTGATTAAGGTAATATTACGGCAGCGGGCTGTACCGTTGGACGATAACAGACCGAAAGAAGACAAGGGCTATTGCACAGTTTTAGAAGTAATCCTTCGTTGGCATGATAGCAAAAGGGGTCAAGGCGAAGACCTGCCACCGCGCGATTGCGTGTTACTAAGATTTCCGTGCGGAGGTTGTTATGTACATTCTTAGTGTCGAACCTTAGTTCCATCTCTGTGTCGCACCTTCGGACGATAACAAACCAAATCAAGACGAAGGCTGAGCCAGGGCGAAAACCTGTGACCAAATCAAAATAATGGAACATAATTACGCCTAGTGAAATGCAAACAATAGGCATTTTAAGTATAAATTAAATGTCATCCAAAACCACTGAAACCACCAGTATTATTAATAACGCCGGCGATGCAAGGATGCCAGTGGTCTACCCGTACGAGGCGAGATATGTGGGCGAGAAAGGGAACAGTATGGTTGACCAAATGCACAGAAGACCACTCAAATGTGTACGTACACCTTCTACGGTTTTCTGACCTGCCAGTTTCCCCGAAGTCAGGTACCGTTGTAGCATGAGAAGGACATGCAGTTGGGCGGGGGGTGGTAGAGCCGCGAATGCCTCAGATTCAAGGTCTATGTCTTCAAGGTTAGGAAGCCCGTCCTGTGAGAGAGAGAGAAGGATTCGAAAAGGAGATGGCTTTAATACAAGCACATAGTAACGAAAGGAAAAAAAGGGATTACAAGGGAAAACGCCTGAGAAGGGACGGGTGAACATAATAGAAAGTCGAATAACTACAAGATTGTAAAGTAAAAGGTAGCAAGAGGCAAATTCGAGGAATCAAAAGAAAAGGCTTAAAACATGGCGGATAAGAAGAAGTGCTGGATATAAGGTGCAGACTACGCGATAAGGATGATAAATAAAAATTAGCCAATAGGCGTGTTAACAGAGTCTGCGAAAGAAAAGTTGAAAATGGGCAGCGAAGGTGAAATGCCGGAAAATAAATAGGAAGAAATACCAGGAGACGAGACAAAGAGAACATAGAGGATGTGTAGGATAAAGAAAAATTGAATATAAACCAAACTTCGAAAATCCATTACAAAACCCAACTCACAAGAAAGTCCCGAGCAAGGCTGGCAGCCGATTCTTGTTCTTCTTCCAGAGCGCTAATATTTCCACTTGTTGGTTCTGAATATTCCCTTTTTAAGAGAAGCGAACGGTAGACGGAACGTTAAGTTATTTTGACTGACCATTAAGCTTACTAGCCATGCATATACTTTTAATATCTAAAATACATCGTTACACGCTGATTGTCAATAAATGAGAGCTAAAACACAGGGTCCAAGGTACAGCTTACAGCACTATCATGAAAAGGTATGAACATGTACAAAGGGTAATTCTCGGGAATCCTCGAGAAAGCCGGACGTCGCCTGGTCAGTAAAAATAAACAGAAGGAGTCATCAGGGCGCAGACAAGAGCCTATCCCAGCTCTTTGAAGCAGGGCTTCACTACAGGCAAACCATTATACAAGTCACAATTGTATTGGCTGGAGGGTGACAGTTACATTTAGAGTCCAGTACAGCTTACTTTTCGCATAATTGTCTACTTACTTCATAACAGTAGGCATGCTTTGTTTTACTAATTTGGTATCGGCTGTTTCCCAAGTACAGTAGTCGCCGGCTATTAAGCC